AAAAAAAGGAACCACTAGATTTGACAAGCATAGCAGTCACTAGTGATCATAACAAAAGCAGCCTGCATTAGTGAGAACAGAAACTCAGCTGGAATGGGCTGAGGAGAGAATGTGAAAAGTAGGGAGAGTGACTATAAACAGTTCACTCAAATTCTGTGGAGATAAGAAATGAGACAGTATCTGAAAATGGAACGTGAAGGGAGTGTTTTGATAGTAATATACTAGAGCATGTTTGTACGCTAATGGGATGATTCAGTAGAGAGGGAGAACTGATGATGCAAGAGAAGATAGTTACAGTAGGGAAGTCTAGAGAAGACAAGAGAGGCTAGGATGCAGAGTACAGCTGGAAAGATGGCTTTTGATAGGAGCAGGAACGTTTTCATCTATTACAAGAGGAAGAAAAGTGGCCACAGATGCAGGTGGGTTAGGAGGACTGGTGGTGGGAAGATGAGACAGTTCCCGTTTAATGACTTCTACTTTTCAATGAAACATCAGGCAGTGTCAGAAGAAGATAGCAGGGAAAGAAAGAGAAGTTCTGAAGAGTGGAAAAAATGAGCGAAAATGTCCGGGCAGTGTTTGAAACCTTTTAAAATCTGTGGCCATGAATTTAAAGTGTCAGCATGGCTCGTGCAAGCAAGTTGGGTTTAACCAGGAAAGTGGGATAATGGGAGATAAAGGAGGTAAAAATATTTATAAGGGGGTGACCCCGTTAATATACATGGAAATCAAAGTAGCTGAGCTGGAAGGGGTAAGGGGGTGATCAGATTTTGGAGGTGATAGTGTTGTGAACAAGGCAGGGGGATGAGAGGCTGATGTAGGGTGGGAAAAAATGATCACTGGAGGTGAAGAGGTCAACTGTAACGCCAAATTATTAAATGAATCAATCATTGTTGTGGATGTTGGTACCTAAAAGTAAACTTTTGACTTTTCCAGTCTTTCTGTTAGTGGTTCCCATTACTAAAGTCAGAAACTAAGAGTCACCTTGACTTCTCTCTTCCTCACTCCCAATCCACTCCTGTTGCTACTTCCTCTTAAGTAAATCTCAGACTACTCCATTCCCCTCATCTACTCTTTTACCCTAGTCCATGCCAGCATTATCTCTTTCCTGAACTATTCAACCTCTCAACTGGTGTTCCTGCCACCATTGTTGACCTGTTTTCATCAGTTTTTCACAGAGCATACATGTTTAAGTCTGATCACATCACCCCTTGCTTTTATAAACCTGCAGTGGCTTCCCAGTACCATTGACTCAAGACCAAACTCTTCCAAAACCCCACAGGGTCTGGACCCTCTGCTTACCTCTCTAATGATAGCTCATACTACTTTCTTCAGTGATAATAGTTTTTAGCCCTACAGGCCTCATTTTTGTCTCTTGAACAAGTCAAAAGTTTTCCTGCTTCTTGGGCACTGCTCTCACCTCTACCTAGTACATGTTCTTTCAACTCTTCATAGCTGCATCTGTCTCATCCATTAGTTCTCAATTTAATAAAAACAGCTCAGTTTGTACTTTTTGCTACACACTAGCAACTGTATTTTTTGTTGTTGTTGTTGAGACGGAGTCTCGCTCTGTCGCCCAGGCTGGAGT